AATGGGTTCGGTGTGGTGCACTGGAAGCGTTGCGTGATTGTAATTTTTTGGCGATTTTTCTAAGCATAACCAAGCATAATTTTAATGACCAATGAATACCTTTAGCGGAACTGCAAGTTTTTTTGGTGGTCCATTGTAAGCAACCGAGCCATCTGCACGGTTTGGTGTTCAAACAATGGGAGATTGATAGACCACATTGGTGTCAATTATTTGGTCTGATATTCATTTTAATTTGTGTAAACTTGATGAATCAAGGAAACGAGTTAAAAGCGGATGCAAACTGATTGGTGAAGTTCCCAAAGTCCATTTTTCGCAAACATTCGGACTGCTTGACTTCGTGTGATGGAAATCCCGTGAGCGTAGGCATATCTCTTTTGCAAGCAACCAAGCCGTTTACCCAGTTCAGAACCTACTCTATGTAAATTCGAGTGATTAGACAACCAATCCAACGCCAATCTCTTACTTGGAACAACTCGGTTTTTATTTCGGGTTGACGGTGAGAAGTGGGGTCTTGAAGAGGGAGGTACACACATTCTTTTCTAAACACTAACTTTTGAGGACGATCTATTATTATAAATATCGGAGTATTTGTCATTCTAGTCTGTCAAATCTGCAGATGCTGTTTTTTGATAGTGGTACAACTTGACGTTTCTTACAAGTGCCCACTCCCAAATTCTGAAGGTAATTATAATTTCCGAATAATAGTGGCATTATAAGCGCCCAAACCATTCACATAATTTGGCACCTAAACGACGGAGAATTGGCAGTTGAGGATATTTCCTATCCTTTTTGCAAAGATGAATCTGAAAGCGTAGTAGATTTTTAGATAAAAAGTGGGTTATATCTTCATGAGGCTCCAGTTAATCCATCAAGACTAAAGGGAATTCAATGGGTTTTTAAAAACAGTTTTCAAATTTTCGCTTCCTTGTTTCTCAATGGGTTTTCTTTCCCATCGTAAACCGACCTACGTGTCTGGCTCGATGCATAGTGAATCATTGGTATGCGAGGGTTCTGAAACCACCACATATCCAACTTTCAGAGGAACATTAAAAGATAGTGCTGGAAGCACTGCTTTTAAAAGCTCCTGCAGTTGCAGTCGTGGTGTTGGATCGTTTTGATCACAAGTACGATTTCGACCCGCCGTTGTTCTTTGTAGCCCTCCATTCCCTTTATTGTGGCAAATTCCTAGTCTGAAGATGCGTAAAGTGGCGCTGTTATGTTTCGTACCTAAACGCCACTAAAGCATTTGGAAGTAAAATCCCATCCATTGCTTTCATTGGAAATAATTTTCAATTCCGTATTGATTATAATCTATTTTTGCAGTCGTTCACCAACATTCCTTTTGATTTATAAGACTATCCATAAAGGATTAAACTTTTTTATTGCTTATTGTCTCAAAGAGTTAGCGTTATCTTTTGCGAGTCAAGTTGACTCGATGTGTCGTCAATACCTCTTGTTAAATGTGAGCCCTTTTTGTCCATATTTGTGCATAGTACCATGTGATTTGGTCTCTCATTCAAATCTAAGTCCCGATGCTTAAGAAAAATTGCTTCACAATATATGTATGAATTTCAGGAAAAGATGTATCATTACTTCCTTTGCTTCGTGTGCCATGGTTTATGGTGATTATAATCGGGGTTTATGGCTTTCTATCCTAAGCTGCAGTCGTGGTGTGATTTAAAACACGTTTCTCATTTCAGAAGATATACGTTACTATGCTTTTAAAGTTTATATCTTAAATATCTTTGAATAGTTTGTAGAATTTATTCGCAAACTGGAAAAGCCACTTTAGTACAAATAGATAAAGGAGGTTTTGATGTTTGGAATAAAATTCCGGATGGTATCCAATTCCTGATGTTAATGGTAAATGGGCGCAATTACCATTAAGAACGAGGCACGGTCACTATTCAGTGTAGCTCCGTTTTTGCAGCAGTTTGAAAGATCATGAAGTCTTGTTCCTTTTGTTTAGGTCTGTGGTGATGCCAAAGGAATGGCACCGGCTGTCGCTTCTGCATGGACGGTTCTCTTTGCCACCTGGAAACAAGCATCCGAAGATGTCGACAGTGTCGACCTGAAAGCAGGAGCAGAATTTCTTGTCCAACTGCGTAAAGAGAAACGCTACATTGAGGACGTGTGGTGCTAGATCCAGTTTCGTGATATCTTGTTTGTTACACAGTCTTTCACTCTCCTTCACTCTTTGAAGAAAAAAGTAGATTTTCTCGTAGAAACATGGCTTTGTTTTATTTTCCAATGTTGGCAGGTGAGTCGTTCGCAAGATTTGGCGGAAGTTTCTTACTGTCATTCAGGTTATTTCCATTGTAAGCAATTTGCCTGATATTTTGTCTTGGGTTTGATATGTTAAAATATTGAGGGTGAAGATTCCCCAATCTTTTTCAAAAACCCCAAATGAAACAGAAGAACTGTATGTCAAAGTGTTTACATGAAAGAAGGCGTTCCACCCCCATGCGTTACAATTATCTTAGCAACTTGTTTCTGTACTGAAGTTTCGTTCTCACAAATGTATTGAAATATTCAACTCGGTAATTCCCGAGTTTCCGTAACGTTGTATCGCCTTTGTGTTCAAACGGTGAAGCTGATGAGGAGGGATTTTGGTCGTTTTCAAGCCCTTAAAACCTCGACTTTGATTCAACTTTTGTATGTCCCTGTCCGTTTGAGGATCTTCGATATGAAAATGCAAGAATATGGAGACGTGGGCTAAATTTTTCCTGCAAACCTATTCCTCTGGGCTACTGGATACAAGCGAACCAGCCCGTTGCTTGTTTAAGAGTGCGTAGTATGAGATCTGCTCACCTTCGTGCAATCTTAATGCGGTCGGCCGAGTCGTTCGCCTGGCTTGACTTTCAGTTGGTGGGAAACGAAGTGAATAAAGGCATGACTTAAATTTTAACGCAACTTTTAATGTTAGTCATTGTTCTGCTTTATTGAGGGTTCCATTCCTGAATTTCAATTACATAGAGCATGTAAGTGACTAATGCAGCTGCCAAAATGCCGAAACGGAGATCAACCTCTGAAGCAGCGCACTTTACCTGCGATCTGAGCACGTCGGAGTAGGGATGCTCAACCGTTTCATCGCCAGCGAATCCACGTACATTTTTTTCATTCATCACTGAAATCTTTACACTAAAAACCGAGCCTTGGACTACAAGTTGCAGCTAGCTTTTCGTTCTACACCCTATATTGCCCACCACATTTATAATGAATCCCATCAAAACCCACACAGCGAGCTTTGAGCTACATAGTTCAATTTTATTTATATTAGATAAACAAATGTTGATACGTACATTCATGTGTAACCTAACTTGCAATAGACCTATCTACTGTGATAATATGTATCTTAGACCCAATTTCAGCCTGGTTAGGGCCTAAGAAAAGATCATACACTCCCAGATGTTTGCGTTTTTCGTGCTAGGTGCGAATTCGGGCATAGGCAACCGCTTATTGGAAGACGTGTGAGGATGTTCGGATGGGCACCAGACCTAGATTTCCTCCTTTTCACGACGTGGCGAACGAAGTCGCGAGGTTGTGTACCGGCCAGAGCTTCCCCTAAAAATAAACGGAGAAAAGGAAGCACGTTAAATATCAAGAGGTTAAAACATGAGGTAATAGTTAATGTAGGTGAAAGAACTCACGAAAAGCCCGAAGGGCGGTAGGTGGTGGGAACAGATTGCAGTTCGGCGGAGAGACGCTCGCGCTCGAAACGCTCCGTGGAGAGGCTGCACGAGAGACGCGAGGCCTCCTTCTCTGTCTCCGCCAGGCGCTCGTAGAGGCGGGCGTTCTCACGCTGCTGCGCGTCCATTCTCTCCTCGGCCATCACTGCGCGCTCTCGCAGCATTATCACCTCATTCATGCGCTCCTTCATAGCAATAAGCAAAAAATATCATTAGTTTAATTGTTCTCAATATTTGCACTACATTTCCCTCCGGACTTTTTAAACCTGCAAACAGAATCAATTCTCACCACCCCTAAGGGACTGCGTCGAATTCGTGCAAATGTATCCTCAAAACCTCATGAATATTGCAGCCGGTGAGGCATGGACTTGGTCAGTGTGTGGAATTTTTGAAGAGAAGTCGCAAAATTTAGATCGTACAGAATCCAAATTTGGTAGTGGGCCACTTCTCCTAGACCACTTTAGTTAGGAAGTCGACACTTGCACTAGTGGTATTCGCGGAAGAGCGTTCTAACTTCGTGAGAATTGAGCCACACAGTACTCAAGCCTGAAAGTTAGCATAATGTACGAATTCGATTATCTCCAGAAGCAAAAACTTGATTATGAGCTTCAGAAATACATGTAATCTATTTTAGGCTTTCTTCTGAGAGTACCTCAAATTCACACAAACTGAAATACAAGGTATCTAAGCTACAGAATTGGTGGTGCCCTCCTTCCTTTAGACGACGAGAAAAGCACATCAAGGTCGCGTAAATCATCAAGTCGTTAAGTATTTGAGCCTCAGTGGTTGTGGTACCTTCTCTCCCTTTAAAGGGTTGTGAATATTGCGGGCCCTTATTAATTAATCTGAGTTTTACACGCATATATGGACGCGATACGTCCACGGCATCCAACGAGAAGCGTCTCGTATTTGAGGCTGGTGGTTAACAAAACATTCAAGTTCCGATTACAATGACTCACTCTCTCTCAAACTACATGAATTTGAATGTTATTGCTGCGCGCAGTAATCCATTAAAATCCCCATTCCAACAGCTGTTTGTACTCTCTTGTCCTTGAAAAGATTGTTCTTCAAGGTCGGCTATCTCAGGTACTGACTTGCTTGAGGAGTTCAACTCAAATAAGGTCTTTATAAGCCACAAGTTAAAGGGTGTGGTTTAAAAGTGAAGAGTACATTTATTTGTCAGATGCACATCAAAATTTCAGGGCCGCTTTGACCAAATTTCAAACGTGCAAATACTCGTAAAAAGCTTATTTCCTGGCAGGTTCCGTGATGACCAAGGGTTCAGAATCAGATTCTCAAGATCTAATTGAGTACTCTCAAGGGTATGTACATTAGCTATGAGACGGGAACCACCGCGATCTGGATCGTCCATGGCAGATGAATGGCCGCCTCCTAGACGCTTACACCACTGGAATGCCTTACTGATGACGGGCTGAACGATCAATCGCCGTTACAGGAAAATCCCTCTATCACCAACAAACCTTTTTGATTTATAACTTTTAGTGCTGACTTGATTTTAATGCATTTCATACTTGGGCCTCTAGAGTGGCCGTGTGCTCCTTCTCGCGGGCTGACTGCAGTAAGAGATTAGCGTTACGTGCGTTTTCGCGCTCTGTTGCGGCGTTCTCATTGGCTTGGAGGAGCGCTGCCTCCGTGGAGTGCAGCTTGGAGCGCGCCTCCTCGGCTTCGACTCGTGAGTGTACAGCTTCACGCTCCTTCGCGCTTCGCGCTGCCTCTGCACGCACCAACGAGTCACGCAGTCGTGACACCTCCGCTGCCAGTGCCTCCAACTCTGCTCGTGCTAGGCCCGCCGCCTCAGTCGTCTCATCTACCTGCTGGTTCAGACTCAGGACCTGTGATTTTGAGGGTGGATGAAGTAAAGTGGGTGCAATTTATTCATCATAGCACTATCGTAGTGATCGTATATCGAGTTTTGTTAAAAAAAAACCATTTTTAAGTTATTTTACTGGTTTCTCCTGCCTGATGAAGTCATAATAAATGAGACTTTTCATTAAAATGCAAAGACTGAATTAGTCAGCCCACCGGCTATCATAACTCATTAATTAAAAACGCGATTTGCAGAAATGTAAAAACATTAAAATTTGTTTAGTCTACCCAAAATCTTGGCAAACCACTTAGTTAAGAGAGGTCGTTCAGCCCCAATTTTATTTCCTTATTTTCACTTCACTCACACCAATCTGTAATGATTGTTCTTCCTGCCCCTACCTGATTTTCAGCCCTTTCCAGAGCAGTTCTGCATTGGGAGACCTCGCGTTTTTGCGCCTCAAGGGCGTCCCTCAGGCGAACCACCTCTGCCGCGTTCTCGTCGCTGTGGCTACGCGCGGTTGCTGCGGCCGCCTCCGCCTCAGTCCAACGCGTGCGCCACAACTCCGCGTCCTCGACCGCGGCGCGCGACTGCTCTGCAAGAATGTCGCGTTCCCTCGCCCGCTCGCCCAGCAAACGCTCCTGTCGCGCCAACTCCGACAGGTAGCTATCGGCTCGAGCCTTCAAAGACTCTCGTTCATCCGTCGTCTCCTTCGGAAAGAATGTCAAGACTGGTAGCAATGCAGGTAATGATTCAATATTGAACTACAAAGTCGCTTGTGTCTCCTACAGTAACATTATCAAGAATATCGGTGTGTTCACGTAAGAATTGGATTTCTCCAAAGCGTCTTAGTGATCGAGTTCGCCGGAACAGGAAGGAACTTAGGCGATTTAGTAATGAAATCACCTCTTGAAATTTATCATGAAAAAACCAGATTTGCTTTCAGCGTCCTCCGGTCCTTCACGGTCTGCTATGGTAGCAGCACTGACAACAGTCCACATGCCACCGACAAGTTGAGTCGAATTTTGACATCGTGAAAAGAACAGGTAGTCTCCTAAATCATTGTTGCTTTTAACAAAGAGCATCGAGAACTCAGTTCCAGGAATCCTGTTCAATATGCAAGGAGTGACATAAGCGATTTGTCACTATTGGTTACCTGATTTTAATAGATCTGTCTTTCAGTTTTTTTTTCATGAGATGTAGCAGACGTTGGGAATGCTGCATTTTTTATCACAGCCAGGTCTTACTAAAAAGTCGGCCTTCAACTCACATGAAGTTCAACTTGAAGACGCTGAAGGTCCCTCATGGCGGCTGCAAGTTCATCTCTTATCCGAGCACTCTCCTGTTCCCCTCCGTCCAGTGCCCGCCGGCTTTCGCGCAAGCTGCTCTGTGCGGCGGCCAATTCACTCCTCAGCGACTGCTCAGCTGCTTGACTTGTCTGTCGCAAAGAGAACTTGACCTGAGGGTGCTACACAACTTTTCACAAGTGTTGAAGCAAACATGAGACCTTAAAACATCTACTTGGCCTGGTGATTGGTACCAGGAAGTACATTAGGCATCAAATCTGAATTTCCTGTCAAGGGTAGGAAAATACCGAAATAGTGGCGCAAGCTGCGGCTTTCCAAACTTCGGTGAGTCAAACAAAACACCTCTACCTCGAGGTAAAGACAGGGAATCAAGCAGCTTTGAAGGAAAAAGGTGCCTCTTTACATTCTCAAACTCAAACCTTGATCCAATTTAAGGTCACTTCCCATTCCTAAATATAACTTTTCATCTTGAAATTCGCTGAATAGTCGAAGTGAAATGTTCGTTCAAAATGAGTGGGGACAAGGAAGTAAACAATATACTTCCTCATGACCTACGCTCAATAGTACAAGAGGGTATAAGGGAAAACGAGGCAGGCTTACCCTAAGTTGTTCCTCTTTGCGGGTGAGCACACGAGCATTCTCATCGAGGGTGCTGCGTGCCTCCTTAAGCTCCATTAGTTGAGAGGTTAATTGGGCCTCCAGGTCAGAAATACGCTGAGCCATGAGTTTTCGATTGGCCTGCACGACAGCCAGAGAATGTCAGTGATGCATATTTTTTCTCAAGTTTCCCCAAATCTCACGCTTCATACTTCCATACTTTTATAACTTTTATTACAAATTAGTATCTGAGAGAATAACTAAACTTGCCTCCTCAGCGTCCCTTTGCTCCTCTGTGGCTTCCAATCGAGACCTGACCTGGAGATAATCATCGTGTTCGAGACGTAGCTCCCTTTCCAGCTGACCTGCGCGCAGCTCCACCTGATGAAATCGATCCTCCACATTGCGGTGTTTGTTTATGGTCTCCGTCAGCTCAGCATCCAAGTCCTCACATCGCTGCTTCATGGCCTCATTTTGCCTTTGCAAGTCAACAACCATCTGATGTTCCTTCTAGTGTAGAGTCGATGAATCAAGTTATAATCTCATTTTATCATTTATTTTGCCATAAAGACACTCATAAAATCTTGACTTCTGTAGCAAATCCAATTTCATGGATGGAGGTAATTAAATTAATGTCCTCCTACTCTTCAAGGCCACTAATCTCAACCACAAATAACACAACGCACGTTTACAGTTTGAGCCTAACTAGTGTGTCGCGATTTCCGATCCTAAGTTACTGGATCAACATATTTGGGAAGCTATTACAATCCAGAAAACCGATCCCAGTAATGGGTAATGCTTTAAATTATATCTGAGAGAACTTTATACATCTCCGATTTCGTACTTTGAAAGTGATTTGAGAGCATTTAACGAACAAAAGATACCGCTGCTGATATTGTCACTATTTACGAGCATGTAAATCTACTGACAAATTGTCCTTTAGCTACCGAGTGAGTGAAGGCATGTAAGGTGGGAAAGTGAGAGAAAAATAATTACTACTGTTAGTTTATTAGTAAAAATATTTTTGACTGACGTTTGCAGCTTCAGTCTGGCGTTTCAGGTCGGTCTCGAGAGAGCGCAAAGCAGCTTCTAGTTCGGCAATCCTTTCACGAGCCACAGTGTGACGGTGTGTAACATCGTCCCGATCTCGAACGAGCTGACGATTAGATGCTGTGAGATCTTCAATTAATGCCTCCAGCTTTATTTTATCCTTGTTAGCCAAATCGATGTCCGACTGAAAGTCAAGTGGAAAAGTTACAAACCCCTTTTTTGGAAGAATAACGTTCAACAAACATGTTTTTAACAAAGAAAAGCTGAATTTATTTTCAGTTATATGTGAGGACTGTCCCATTTCCACTATTTTTTAGATAAATTTCGCAATCGGATCTATCGACAATGAAGGCCATCCACCGCATACGTAATTCTTCACAATCCATCAAAGGTCTACTAACATAGGCCTACCTTTGCATCTATGATACTATGTCAAGTCAAATACTAAGGGAATGGCAGTCAGACACTCAGGATTTTAGCAAATAGACAATTCACTAGTTTCCTTTAAATCACAACCTAAGAGCACTCGCTAATGCCCAGAGCCCTTATCGTCAGCAATTGTTAAGCTCGTTCTAATCGTAAAACCTCCATTTTAAATGGTCGATACTCACCTTGAGTGACTCATTCTCCTCTCTCAATCGCTCTACATTGGATTTTAGTCTGTCAACATTATCTGCCAACGTTTTGACCTGTCGCTCTAGCTGATAGCGGGCATCTTGATTTTCCCGTAGCTCATTGGTCAGATCCTGGGTGCGAAATTCGCTCTCTTCCAGACGACGCTCAGCCACCGAGCAGCGCTCTGCCAAACTTGCACCAGCCGAACGCTCAAGCTGTAGGAGAAGAAAGAAGATTTATGAAAACTTAAAACCCGTCAGCACTTTTGTCAAATATGTGGAATGCACCTCCTAAAACTCCAAGCGGGTTGTGGCATCTTTGTCAACGAACCAATACCAAATAACTTTTTCAACGAATGAATTGAATGGCCAGTCGAATGCCGTACAAATATCTAATTACAAACTAACCTGGAATTTCGAGGTCCACGAGGTGACTTCATCTTCCGCGGTCTTTAGTTTCTGTTCCAGGTTCTTGATGGCAGTGGCGAGTTTGTTGCAATTGCTGTTGACCTCATCCCGTTCTGTAACCGTCACCATGTACTTCTTCTCAAGGTATTTGTTGTTCTTTTGAAGCTGGGATTTGGCTTTTCTGAGTTCCTCCATTTCTTGCTGGAATAAGAAATTTGTTTCTTTGAGAGCTATTTGTAGAGAAAAGTAGAGAAATAATCTATTTCCCAGCAGCTCCAGAATTTCCCCAAAAATAAGAAAAAAATGAATGGTAGGAAGAAGCTTTAAATGTTGTTCCGACTCCACCAGACTGGTAATAAAATGGAGTCAATGTGAACAAAGCGGCAATACCAGCATCTACCCACTTGCATCTTCACGCGTTCACATGCGGCCTCCTGCAGCTCGCTTTGAAAGCGTTCGCACCCCTCTCGCTCCAGCTGTAGGCGTCGGGAGATCTCCTCGATCGACGCCTCGGCGCGCTGGTAGACGGCCTCCAGTTCACTGTTTCGTTGACGTGCAGCAACCAACTTGGCCTCCGTTTCCTCCAATAGCCTCTGCCGACCTTCAAGCTCACCGCGAAGGCCGTTCGCCTCCTCAGTGGACCTCTGGTTCAGTAAAATGTGAGAGAGATAGTTGGTAGATAGTTTTTGTCGGATTTATGCATAAAACTGTAGTGTTCGGTATGCTTAACTATTCAGGTACTGTTTGGAGTAAAAAAAAGAATTCTAGTTTCAGAAAGCAGGAAAGTATTGTTCTACTTACGCTCCACCACCTACGATTCACAACCATCTCATCAACCAACCAGCCAACCGCTGAAGATTAATAAGTGGCAATACAAGACCTTTCCTCACCTTAAGTTTCTCGTTCCTCTCGGTAAGACGCTGCTCGATTTGCACTTGACTGCACTGTAGCTCCTCCAGCCGCCGTTTTAGCTGACCGATCCGACTGACTACCTCGTCGCGCTCGGTGGTGGCCTCGCAGAGGGCCTTCTCCATGTAGTCCATTTGCTTGCTGTGGCGCTGCTTGTCTACGCTCTCTACCTCGGTCGCCTTCTAGATAACAGGGAGTAGGAGTTCTTCTAATTGGATATTGGCCAAAATATGGCACCAAATGGAAGCGCGAGAATGGAGTAAACGAAGATCGCCTTCTCGTATGCCCCCAGGCAACATGTAGTTTATTTAGGGTTCTTTAGCTTGGTCTATCATAAATACAATTTGGTCTAAGATAGAAGGCATGGGCAAGAGCTAGGTGAGGACAGGAAAACCAGGATTTCTATCTCAGTCGTCCTTCAGGCAGCAAATATTTTGAATAGGTACAGTTTTTTGCAGCTACACAGTAGTAAAACGGATTTTCAGAAAGGCGTTTCTTTCAGTTATCGATGTGCTTAAGTCCGCCTTTTCTATTTTCTCGCATTTAGTTACCATTGGGCTAGTCTCGCACCATATTTGTGCGATAACAAAGCTATTTTTAGGCCCAAAAGCCAGATGAAGTCTTCAGGACTGCCTCGAATCCGACTAGTACGAACTTTTATAATGTCAATAAATTTTTATACATCTTGATATAACTAACCGTCTGGTTCTGAACCATACAATGTTCTATTTCGTTACCAAGCGACTAATGAGATTGACAGATGGAGTTAAGTATTGGTGGCAGAAGGAGGGCATCAAGCACAGATTACAAGAATAGTCCGAATCCAAATGTGTCTTTGAAGATTTTATAATTCAATCAGGCGTTTGAGCAAGGGAATGAGGTCGTGTTCTGAATGGAACTCATACTCCACCTATTCATCCCACCTATCTGCTTCCTCGTTTTCTTCCATAACCTAGAAAAATACTTCCGGATTTTTGTACTCCACCTTCTGACTAGCGGATGTGAAGTCATCCAGCTAGATACTGCCAGTTACAACCCAAAAGAAGGTGCGATGACAAGAACGAGGATAATAGTCATTTTGATCTTATTAGGAGAAGCAGACACAGTCCTCTGTGGGGATATAGTATGTGACCCAAACCTCCCAAAAAAAATCTACGCAGTCGCCATAACCCATTGTTACTTTATCCCATTGCGAAATCAAGAAATCCAAGTAAAGGCATCTGTTCCAATTTGCTCAGCATCAAAATAGAAAACTACGGCTATAAGACCTAAGGTTTACATCATTATTTATTTAATAAGCCCGAAAGCCTGTAAGAAAAAGGGCTGGGGGAAAGGGGCAAGTCCTGTACAACTTCCGAGGTTTATTAAATCAAACCAAATTTTGCCAGCTGGATTAAATACAAAAAACTTCTTTACAGCAAATACCTTTCATTTGAGGCATAACTGATGAAGTAAGGGTGCAACTGCACCACCATATCGTACCAAAATACCCTTAAATCGGAAGTCGGAAACGCCAACCTGAAGGCAGGTGATTTTGCTCTATAAAAAGGCTATTTTAAACAAACTCCAAATAATAACAGGAGTGTTTGTGCCGTTTAATTGTGCTCTTGTTTTCAAAAAAGATGCATACATAAATGGAATAAATCTCAAGGAACGGATGCAATTAAAATGTGCTTTTAAGTTATACAATTGTGCAGAATTTAGTAGAAAATATAGGCAAACTTTCTTAGAAACCATTGTGGGTGAGATAAACGTAGCGGAGTTTACTGCCTGATCTGAAAATCGCAAATGCTGTTTCGTGTTCCTTTTTAAATACACAATTTTGTTTGTAGAGAGACCTTGAGAGACAGGGTTTTCTGCTGCCGTGTGCAACAGAAAACTCATTTTTAATACAGAGCATATGCATTATCCCTAATATCTTCATCTTCTTTGCCAACATGTGAAAGAAAACATCCACATACCACAGACATCATTAGTAACTACAACATTTACAACTATCAAGTCTGTGAGGACATGACACATATTTCAGAGGTGTTCCGTTCAATTTAGTGCCAATTTTTTAAAACAACCCAAATAATGAAGTGGTCAGGAAAAACACGTTCAGGTTTCCTCGTCATTTAATAAATCAGCTATTATTAAAAAGTCAAAAGCGGCGATATAATGGATCAGCACTAAATTGATGTCAAAATTTGACAAAGAAGTGGACAATGACTTACGCAACAAATAATGGGGAAGCCAATAACGTTTAAGTTAAAATCGAGCTTCTCTTAACAGTATCAAGGAAGAACACTTTAATTCATTGTTAAATACTAATTTACCTTGTACTTGGCAGCTAGACTCTCCCTTTCAGCCGAAAGATGCTCAATTTCGCGCCGAGCTCTTTCCAAATCTGCTTGAAGACGAGCAGTCACCTCCTGATTGACCACCCGTCGGCTAGCTGCGTTCTGCACGTCGTACAGGTCGTGGTGTAGTCGATGAATCTCGTTCTTAGCCTTGGAAAAGAAGTACACCAGTGATAAGCCCTGGGGAGTGTAACGATGCAAGATTGTACTTGATTGTGCATGTGAATGTGGTCCTCACAATTTTACACGGTTTTAAAGTCATATTTACTCCAGACAATTGGAATAGCTCGGCACTGGCACTAAAGAAAAGCAATGCAAAGACTTACATCGGCATATAGTTTATGCAAATCATTCCGCTCTTTAGTTAGCGTTTGCACATTGTCTTGAATCTATTTAAAATATACAAAAGATAAAATAGCCATCCGCTGAGGGAAGCAGTCCCAAAAAATGGAAAACGGACCTCCTGAATGCGTTTTTCGAAGCGAGTGAGCAGCATTCGGAGTTCGTCTCGTTCAATTCGCAATTTTTGGTTCTCCAGAGATTTTTCAAACGACTGCGGAATAAAACGATTGAAATAGGTGCCCATAATAGTCAGTCAGTTGGTTAGAACGATACTAATTACCACAACCTGGCATTTTTTTAGTGAGCAGTTTATGCCGTGGTTTCCGGCAGCACTAACTAAACGCTTACCGGAAATTACTCCCCAACTTGCAACTTCATTAGAGGTGTTACATTTCCTGTCTAAAGGGTGCTGTACGTACCTCAGTACAGACTGAACTAGGCCCGGTTATGGCGGTGACTGAGGCTACCGTAAAACGGTTTCCTCGCATTGCTCTCTTTCCTATGCCAATTATCGCAAAGGAAAGGTGTTGTTTCAACTTTCGGGGTGGCAATGCATTCCGGCCGACCCTAATTTGATTTGGGACATGGGTTTCCTGAACCGACTGAAGGATTGACAAATGTAACCAGTTCTTCAAATTTAAAAAGCTAAACTAAGAGTTGGGTTGTTAAAAGGGAGTGTCTATATAATGTCTTCTCAATAGAATGGCAATATATAGTGCTTTGGAACTACGTACGCTGCTTCGGCGATTTTTGGAAATCTATTTGTTGTTTAAATCCATTACTTTATCGGCGACGGCGTTTCTTGTTCCTTTTTTTGACACCACTCGAAAGCGGCAGTGCGATAGGGAGCCATGGTAGAAAAATAACTTAATGGTATAGTTCTTTGTCAGGTGTTAGTTAAAGCTTATAAAGAAATTGCTGAGGTCAAAAAATGTCCATTTGCCTGAAGTATGAACATCCGAGGTAGTGAACAATGCGTACCTGTTGTCAAGTGTTAAAGGTGATTATTTTTAAATACAGGTGAAGTGCCATAAGTTTTTGCGCGTTTAAATAAATAAGTGGGAGCAGCCCCTGCGAATTAGAGTAGTATAACTTAAAAAAAGAGACGAGAACACTTGGTGCTGGTTGGTATCCCAGTGTCGTATCTTAGTCCAGTAAAACAATACTTTCGTTAAAAACACAAAGAGAAAGCCATAAAAACTGCTAATTGGTAGACCAATACTACCAAAAGGTACAAATTCAACAAAAGCATACTGTTAGAATGTGTAAAACTCTATGAAAGCATTATAAAATCTCCACAAGAAAGTCATTTATCCTTCGCGCCGTTTAAGGTATCAGCTTACACCGGTGGCTGAATGATGCGGTTGTAGCTTGTTTTCAGCAACCAGTTTGCTTACTGAGTCTCCACTTAAATATCTAATTAAAAATTAAAGTTCGTATTCATAGAAACGCAACGATCACATCAATAGCAGTGGCACGCCATTGGATGTCACAAAACAAACACAGAATCCTAAGTTTTTGAGTTAAAATAACCCAATCGCCTCATATTTACTGGGAAAAATAGCTGTATTTGCACGGGGCTTAAAACCTTCCTTACAAAAGCATATTTTAAAGTCAACAAAGTTCTACCTGTTCACGTGGAAGACTGCGGGATCGAGGAATGAGTCCCAGCCCTGCAAACGGGCGATATTTCATCTGTTTCGCTTCCCTCCTTGTCTCCTGTAGGGCCTTTAGGTCCTCTTCGATCTTCACATTTTTAAACGATAAGAGACATTCACTGCCCAATCAGATCAACTGTCACAAGCCAATGCTTGTCGTTTGTAAGTCACAAAATGCTGAAATACTTCAACCACTCAATAATAGGGCAGTTGCCTCCGCCTCGGAGGCAAACTTCCAAACACTTAGGGAAAGTGGAGTGAAATTATTTCAAAGGTGAAATTTGGCCCAAGTCAGTTACAACGGCTAGTCTCTCTAGCCTATCAAAAAAGAGTATTTGTTTTAATTAACAACATTTAGTCAACCACATCGTGCTATCCTCAATAGAAGCATATTGGCTGCTTGATGCGCCTATAACCAAGTCCGATCTAGCATCCCACATAATTATAACGGCTGCCTGGAGGGGTTGAACTAACTCTGCCAGCCGTGTGGACATTTATAAGCCAATGTCTAACAGGACAGGATTGACAGGAGTTAAGTATTAGAGACACGGACGATGAAGTAGCTTAGGTAAATAATAAGTATAATTGCTTCTAGTAGGCTAGAAATGGTGAGTAAGGGGCAAGACTTAGTTAAGCTTTCAAGTGATGAAATAGAATTTGCAAATCCATTTATATCAGAAACGTGACGTATTTAAACCAAAAAAAATCGGAAATTCGGATAACAAAGACCTAAATTGATTCGACCAGGAAGAAATGTGCATGCAAGTTAAGCAGTAAATAGTTACGGTACTAACTGGAAGTGTAAAAAACGAGGCATTTAGGAGCAGAAAGGATATTAAATTGCAGATAATTACAAGTATTCGAATCAAATATTTACCCTAGACGTTCGTTCATCCTTCTGGGCTTTGCCTCGACCTAATTTTGAGGCAGAGGAGACCCTACTACCCACTTGTTTGTTGGTGGTGCTTCGCGGGCCGACAATACTGGGACAGGTGAGCATTTGACTCAGGAGTTCCACTTGATTCTTCCAGTAGTCCCGGTCCTGCTCCAGCCCCGTAATGTGCTCCTCCAGAGAACCCGACTTCTTTTGACTTGGTGGTCGTGTACTTCCAGTTGTCCCACCGCGGCGCTTCAAGCGCTCAATTTCTGATATGAGGACTCGTTCTAGAAGAAACAGGCTGGATTGAATGACAGTTATCCCTGCCACAATGGTTGAATAGGCATGGGATCCTCGAGATCTAATTGCTTGGGATAATTCCATATAGCTATGTAAAATACATAGCATTAAATGAAGAGACAATTCCAATATCATTGAGATCTTAAACATTCGACTCTACCTATCATGCATGGGAAGAAGGTATGAGAAGGAAGCTTCATGACGCGTAAACTCAATTTTCATAAACAGCAACCTAATGTCTGGGTCTGAGGTCTAGGTCATGCACTGATAAAATACTCAGCCAACGATCTTCCTGCTCTTTCAGGAGACAATTCGCATGAAGAATTTCGCGCAGGTTGCTGCCTATTTTCTAATTTTACTAAGTGTAGCCCAAAGCTGTACCATATATGTGATCAAAACAGTGGAAAGCACAAAGAAGACCCATAACTTTCGCAACTGAGTCCGAGGTATCCACACAAAGCGTCAATGGAAGGCAAAAAGAATCCTACGTTAGAGACTTAGGTATATGAATAGCAATCTGTCCATCCGATATAAATCTGCAAGACACTACCACCTCATGGAGGACGCAAGGAATTTTATTATCACTGGGGTAAAATGGGCTTCCAAGTAGTTCAATATGCCTCTCCAACAACCCATGTCATATGCAGAAAGGAAGTAAGGTCAAAGGCGATGACAGTTCGTCACATCAGTGAAGGCCTGCGTCGCATTCCGGAGACAGCCACCTCTATTCACACCCTGAAGCTGAACTTTTAGAATCGAGAATAAAAGGCAACACAATATTGTTGTTTTAATTTGGCATGGCAAAAGGCGGACCTCAGAGCTTCAGGGTGGCCGTGAAGTCGCGTGTGCGGTCCTCACAGAGAGCGCTCCTCCCTGATGCGTTAACAGCACAAACGACGGTTCGACGTCTATGGCTAGTGAAATCACAGAGACGAGGACGCAAATAGCAAAAGGATTAAAAATTTTAAAAGTAAAAATCTCAAAATACAAACCATTGCTGCAATAACTAAGTTGTCCCAAAGAAATCGCCGCTTATTCCCAAATTTCGGTGCAGGACAAATGAATAGAAGGATATTGATGCGTGAGTATGTTTCTGATTCAGTACCAAGAGTAAATCAAGCTTTAAATTATTTTAGTCAATTATTTATTTCACAAAATAAAAGGAAGTGTTTTTGTGGATTTGTTTGAAGGACCTTTTACTCACCAAAATCTAAACTCAAGCACTAGAAAATGGCCAGAAAAATGACAAATAGCCACATTTTATGCCCTAATTGTGTAAAATTTATATTTGTGTAATATTTAATAAAAAGATCAGACGAAAAAAGTAGATGTGAGAGCAAATGCTTCATTTGCATTTGCGGAAAGGAGGTGCCAACTTTCTCCAAACTTCAATGAAGGCATCACCTGAACTGGCTTTGATCATATTTGGCAGATTAGACAAAATACGGTAAAAAATAACATCTTTTTATTTGAGTTAATAACGCAATACCTGGATTGTTAGTTTGACTCTCGGTTTTGGTGACCGCCGTCTTAGGGTTCCGCCACTGCCCCTCCACAAAAACCTGACCTCTGGGCCAAGACAGTAGCATCCTCGGCCCTTCCGCATGTCGATGATACGCATTCTGCTCGAGTATTTTATACTAGATATGTATATATATTCACTAATCTCACAAACTGTCAAGGTGAGGTGCTACCACACTGATGCCCTCCAGCCAAACATCTACTGCGAACAACGTTGGCACTCACGCGATCGTACAAAAGTGATCGCACATCCTTCCTTCGTGGCAAGAAACGTCTTCTCTAAGCAGCCAGCATTACTTCATGCGCCGCCGAAAACAAATTCGCATTAATGCAACAACCTACCGTTGGCGGTGAGTTTTTCAATCCTATTCATCAGGTGCTTCTTATCCTCTTCCGATCGTAGGAGGAGGGTGCGAACGTCCCGCGCTGCATTCTCGAAATCCACCTCGTTTTGCTGCATGCTTCTTAATTCATCATTAAGCTTTGCATTTTCCTAAAATGGTCAATACGATCACGCTAAAATTAAAGGCTTTAGGTCTGGTAGGCACTTGATCCACGTGTCCGGGTGAGGCCTGGCTAAGCCTCAGGGAAGGGGGTTGTCTTAAAGAGAAATATTCTGACCGCTAGTTACTAGGACAACACAGATAGTTCGCTTTAGTGACAAACAAGGAACCGGAGGGAACAATTTTCAACAATAGAAAGCAGATTCGAAATGCGATATCAAAATGAGCGGTCATTAGTCGCATCTGTGGAGAAAGTAACCGCACTTCCTCAACACCTCTTACGTGATTGAAGACGGTTTATCTTTAATAAGTTTACTTGGCTTCGAATAGAGCTTGAGCAAGTTTCTAAAATCGGCTCACAGATTTGGCTGGTTGTGGGGCCACCTGCTTAGGCGAGCTCGAACGAAGGCCGTTTTGCCACATGATTCCCCTCCACTGCCCACCGTTTCATACCCAGTAATGTGTCCGAGTGAGTGTATTGTTGTCCACTCAGAGTAACGCAAGTTACCATCACACGCCGGTTGGCATAGCAACGAGTGGTACTGAGTAAGCTTGTCACTTGCAAAACCAGCCTTAGTGGACTTTTTCAACTGGCCAATTACGGAGGAATTAAGCCTTTTGTCCATTTATGGATTCCCCCTGCATTTATTCTCACAAAATTCTGTCTTTTGGATGTTGGAGCAAGATTTACCGCAAATTCAGTAAATTTTAACACAAAAATTATAAAAGTGAAGCGTAACTACAAACGGAGCTGTCCATCACGGAATTGCGGAGGTCAATGACCTCAAACTACACTAATGCTTTGTCCTTTAATAAAGAGCTTAAAGGATTTGAAGATTAAAATGAAACATAGGAAAAATAAGGTTTAGTAGTATATCTATTCCACCGGAAATGCGACTGCACCAGCTGTGGGAAATGGGCGGTTTTGAAGAGGGCTTAATTTTCTCTCTGATTACGCTGTCACAAAATGGCACATTGCAGACAAATAGTTTCATCCTTAATAATAAAAAATGAACATTGGTCTACCTTCATTAGCAATTGTATCTTATTTTCGTTTAAAAGTTGTTGTGCATCATTCAAGCGGACGGGTCGGTCCTCGCAGGTGATGAGCTGAATACCTGAATCTAAAATACACATGCATTTGGCGTTCCCTGCAAAAGTTACTCACTAACCAAGAAAAAATTTAAAACCAATACCTGCGGATGCTTTGGGCTCGACGTTTGAGGAGTAGAACTTTTTCTCCGATCTCTCCTTGGAGGTTTCTCGTAACAGCTCGTCCAGTTTCTTTTCAACTGATCTGCTTCTGTTTTCCATCTGTACAGTACAAGTGAACTTTTCTCGGTCATCAAAGTCATGGCATAGGGCTAAATACTCATTGTTATCATTGTTAAAGAGGGTCACATGTAATTTATGGGCATTTCTTAATTAAAGATGCAGAAATTAGTAAAAAGCATGTACAAATCGAGCAAACTTTGACGGTATACTATAGAGCTCTAAATATTTTAGCCATAAAAATAGTGAGGTCAGCTTTAAAGAATGGGCGCCTTGAATTAAATCGTGAGAATAGCCTTATCTGCTGGTCAGGTTAATATTAATTACTGCTGAGCGGAGGTTACCCTGACAGTGGAATTTCATTCAACCTTAAATTCAAGGCTACATCAATCCAAAAGGGTAACTAGCGAAGTATGTAAAAGTTGAAGTGCAGAAAAAGAAGGTCACTTATATGGCATAGCTGTAAAGTGCTCAGAAGCAGACCATAGAACACTCGGACATCGTTACGTGCGCTGAAACTTGGCGGAATGAACCAGGGGGTTGAGTAGGTTGCCTCTTCTCTCTCTCTCTCTCTGTGTGTGTGTGTGTGTGCTTGTGTTTGTGTAGATGCATTGCACACTCAGTGTGCAGTGTTACCCTAGGAACGATCGGCGTTGCTACGACATCTACCAACTTCGTATCACGTCAAAACTTTATTCGACAACTCATGCTATCCCGATCATAGATTACTTTGAAGGAGATGATATGCAGAATCTAACAGAATTGCAACAGAATATCATCCAAAATGTAACCACTTGTTCACTATTAGGGCCTCAGAAGAAAAACCGGTAACAGAAGTTCAGACCTTTTATAGTTCTAACATGAAGATATAACCAAGTAGGGTAGATGTTTACAAATAAAGGGTATCTTGAGGATACCTGGTTGTTTTTGACATAACCGACCTTATTGTGTCAAGAGTTACTAAAATCAGTCGTCACAAACTAGGAAAGAATGCACGACACATAAAAGTGGCATTTGCAGTTACGACGGCCGGTTATCTGTTAGCCACGAGACACCTTAAAACCTTAATCAAGCCTTAAAATGTCAACTTTTTAAGTTTTTTTTGAGGATTACTCAAAGATGAGATGTTATTTTTCATTTTATTTTAAATTTCCACTTCATTTAATTCGCTTTAAGTAAGAACCTGTCCAGAATTCCATCTATGAATATAAATAAATATAAATAGATACAATTTATCATCATTTAATGCAAGACTTTCGTTGCTTTATTTTATTTCCTGGGCATATAAAATGTGTGGGTTGCCACTGTTAATCGTAATTTTTAAGCCTACTGAATTATGTCAGTAGCAATTATTTGGCAAGTGGAATTATTAGGGAGGCGTTGAATTTAACCCAATCACCATCCCTTCCCTAGGGGAAAAGCCATTACCACAACCTAAAAAAGACATACACTCTATGGAATGATTTTGCTAAGAGCTGGTAAGGGAGCAATCATTCTCAGGCTAAGAAGAGATAGCATCTACATTGCCTACTGAAGCTCAATTTGTTGGAGACACCACTTGGTGCAGTGAGTTAACATAGATTGGCAAGAAATGCATGTCACGTAATTATGGCCCTGGTCACCAACGTGCAAAATGATGTGACTTTTAATAACTGCGATTTGCGAGGATGAACCTATAAATTTAGTTACTTGTATATCGGCGTTTCATTGAGGCCCATGAGGAAAAGAGAGCAGCAAATGATTGAATAGTGTTTATTTTTCAAGAAAACCATAAAGATATAACTTTATTATCAAATTTGTGGCTCACAATATTAGAGGTGCAATGTTTATCACTCTGTACAGGCTACAGCAAATATTTTGCTATAAAAAGCTGAAAGAAATACTTATTATTTTAACTTTAATTTCGCCTTATCACAACCATTTATAATAAACTAGTTAAATTTTGTTGAAAGTTTATCAAGCTATTAACCATTCTGGTTGTCATTACAACTGAAAGTTATATGCCCAAGAAGTCGCCGTCTTGAGAGGAAACAGGCGATTCACATGGCCATACTCAGACAAATTTTCCGAATGCGATTCTCACCACAACATCAACACACTTGGTAAACCATCACAGTTATAAGGGAGCCAATTTACTGGACAAATCTAATTGCAAGAAGCAATGAGACACCGTCCTATGCGACGGACATGGCTACCGAATGGAGGTGAATGACTTTGGTGCTACGATGGCAGGGTAGGCATGGGGAAGTTGTGGGGTGATCCACATTGTGCAGGCAAAAATATTTTGTCTTCTATCACCTTATGCAGTGCCTAAAATAACCCATTTTATTTCAGTGAGGCAATTTAGCAAAGTCTTCCATAATTAAAAGGTCGCTATGCCACTTTTCCAGTGTATGCATAGCGCACTGAGACTTCCCTGAAGCCGTAAGAAGACAATAATATTAGGGCGGAATATGCTTTGAAGACATGTAAAAGGAATGCTGGGCTGCTGGCAGAGTCTTAAGACCATGCCGCCCATCAAAGTGCAATATCAAAGCCTCCAGTGTCCACGAAACCAAAGCAAGTGATAAACAAATGACCGAAGTTTTAAGCATATTACATAACTTCCCTCTCCCATTGAGAGTTGTCACTGATGCTGCCCTTAATCAACCCCTCGCGTAGGTCATTACAACGTAGTTGATGCTTTACAAGCAAATTCACGCATAAAATGAGAAGTTATTTGATCACAAGCTCACTGATACCTCTTGACAATCCTACTGGATACTGTGTCGGAGGGGCGAGGGAATGGGCTGGTCACCACGCATGTCAGTTAGTAGCCGTTGGAACACCGATTTATAAGCAGAGTCAATTAATATGAGACGCTAATTAAAGTAATTTCGAGGGATTGATGTTATGCATCTATTCCACCTTGCCACTTTCTGCTGACTTCAATACTGCTCAGCCATTTCTGCCTGTCTGCGTTATATCCAGCTAGTGGAAGAATGGAGGAGGTATAGCATGTTCACCTATCTGACATCTTCATGCAGGTACGGTGAACAGCTTCTTAAGAAACTTTTTCAGATGGTTCATGGCCATGGCTAAAGTTGGTCGCTTTGTTTGTTAATAGAATTCCTGTAGAATGCGGGACTGGGGTACTTGCCGAAGTAAGGCGTTATTTTCAACCTTTCTGTAAGGAATAGTCACAGATTGTTGCATTCGCAGTACATGCCCTTAATGATGGGTCCGCTTTTCGCAGCCACCAAATCAGCATTGCAGGACTCTTTTGAAGGCAAAAGAAGACGTGATACTCGGGCAGAATATGCATACTGAAGGGCCTGGGGCCTCTGCGCTTGGCCCAAAGGCGAGGCTGACTCGTGGAGGAACAACGGCCATCCCCAAAACAAATAGTTGCAGCTACAGTTAAAGGATAACGAATGTTTACAATTATACTATCGGACCTAGTTGAATCCAAGAGTTGCACCTGTCCAGATACAAGTCGCCGTGAGACAGACAGCAATGCGATAAAATCGGTGGTGTGATGCGGGATTTGCCTCTCAAGCACCACTGTCGGAATCTGAACAATAAGTGTGTAAAATGCGATCTCGAAATCTTATCTTTCCGCTCCTGAAAAGTCACCTCATTTAACAAAAAAGTGCCTTTAAAATACTACTACTTGAAATGGTAAAATACATTTTCCTCAGTCAACTAAATATCAAAAACAGAAAAACTGAAAACGGGAGTTATACGTTCATCTTGGCTTATAAGAGGTGAAAATCCCAACGGTATAAGTTGCTTTATTAAAACATGAATATTAAGTACGGCTTGGAAACTTTTTGCGACATCTTTCATCCTAACATTTGGCATCAAAATTGGTAGACGCAAATCTGGGGTCAATTGGCTAACTTTGTTTTGGGTTTCTTAGGCTGTAAGGGCCAAGACTTTTTACTCTTACTGTGCGACATGGCCTTCAGAGCATTTCAGTAGCCTCCTTTGGCCTTCTCCACATCGGCAAAATACCTTCTTCCTTCGTCTTAAGCGAAAATTCGGGGGCTACAGTACATGCCTGTGGTAAATGGATATCCGTCACTTTAAGTCTAATGTAATCAAATATCTTGCCTAAAAATATCTTCAACCCATTATAATAAACGGAAATCTCATTTCCTCTAACTTTCTTAATCAGTCTGACTTTGTTGTCACTTGTTAATTGAGTACACTTTACTCTTGCTTTAACATCCCACTCTGTGACTATTCTTAGCCCTAACAACCGTGTGTATCAAAGTGGTAAGTTGATTGCCTTCGGTGGGACATTAGCGGGGGAAGCCCTCGTGGCAACCATAATAGCACTTTAGCGATGCTTAAAAGCCCCAATTCTGTTAATATCCGAGCCTTTCGGCCGTTGTGAATGACATTTTGCCTCAAAGTAATCGGCAATTTGTTTCAAAAAACCTTAAAATATCAGGCAAATTAAAATGCCTATTTTAAAAGGCACACCTCTTAGTGGCTGAGATTTTAAGAGGAAGTTTAAATTTTAGTTAACCTTACAATAGACAGTGGATAATAAGGAACCCTGGGAACTTCGAGTTGCTCTTGTCAAGTACAGTTCGGCCGTCCATGTAGTTTAGGTTAAAAATTGTCAGAATTCTTGTTTCCACGGAATCAGTAGCCGTCATGGTGTTAAGGCGTTGTGTCTGCTCTTAATCACTACTTCATTGCCATGATCTGTGCCACGACCCCCAAAGAATGGAGTGACACCGGATTTAAACGGTTTTGAAAAGTCTATCACAAAGCTGCTTATGTCATTTGCACAGGCCCCAAGTTCTAAGAAGCCAAGAAGGAGTAATTACCAAATACTGACTTTGAGGAGTTATCTTACCTTTTGTATTAAATGATTCTGTTCTGAATAATTGTCCTCAAAAACGTTTCCATGGTAGCGATTCTACCCTCTTTCATATATAGGCTATTAACGATGCATCCCACCACAAAACCTGAAACACTTTTGGTATTTTAGATACAATTTAGTGTTCAAGTTATCTCTGAGGACTTTGAATGTAAAAGCCTATTTA